GGTTTAGGGTTTAGGGTTTAGGGTTTAGGGTTCGCCAGCGCAGTTTTTTGAGACTGCGCTAACAGGCGCCCCAAGCATCTCACGCGAAGCCAGCAGCTGCATCCCTTTCTTTTAAGGAGGCTGGTCCTTAAGCCTTAAAACTCCTTGTCTGCACTGCGATTGCTCTCTGTTGGTGCGGGCTAGACTAAATTGAGTCTTTCTGATTGTTATGGGTTTGCTGGGGTTTGGTAAAAACGGCGGTTTTTGACAATCATGTTTTCCGGCACTTTTTCCGGGTTGGGGATCGAAACCTTTGAACTTTTTCTGGCGCGGCCGGGTCCCCCCTCGCAAAGTTTCAGGGGTGCGAGGTGGGTTGGGGCTCGGAGGCGGAGGGGTCCGAGTGCGAGCATCTCACCCGAAGGCTTTCTCTGCCTTAAGGGGGTCCATGTGGCGCGCTCACAGGCGCCCCGAGCATCTCCCACGAACGCTTGCTCTGCTTTAGGGGGGCTGGTCCTTAGGTCCTAAAGTTTTGCGTCTGCCTCTCGAATGTTTTCTGTTTGTTCGGGTTAAGTTAGGTTTAGAGCACTGTGAGTGTTAAGAGATTGCCGGGTATTGGTGGTTCTTGTGGTTTCACTGCTTTGAGGGGGCCGTTGCTTAAGCCTTAAAAGTTGTCGTCTGCTCCGCGATTGCTCTCTGTTGGTTCGGGCTAGGTTAAATTGAAGCTTTGTTAGTGTTGAGGGATTGCCGGGGTTTGGGGGTGCTTGTGGTTTCACTGCTTTTAGTGGGCCGTTGCATAAGCCTTCAAACTCGTCGTCTGCTCCGTTGTCTGCTCCGCGATTGCTCTCTGTTGGTTCGGGCTAGACTAAATTGAGTCTTTTTTAATGTTAAGGGTTTGCTGGGGTTTGGTAAAAAAGCCCGTTTCTGACAATCGTGTTTTTCGGCACTTTTTCCGGGTTGGGGATCGAAACCTTTGAACTTTTTCTGGCGCGGCCGGGTCCCCCCTCGCGAAGTTTCAGGGGTGCGAGGTGGGTTGGGGCTCGGAGGCGGAGGGGTCCGAGTGCGAGCATCTCACCCGAAGGCTTTCTCTGCCTTAAGGGGGTCCATGTTGACTGCGCTCACAGGCGCCCCGAGCATCTCCCACGAACGCTTGCTCTGCTTTAGGGGGGCTGGTCCTTAGGTCCTAAAGTGTTGCGTCTGCCTCTCGAATGTTTTCTGTTTGTTCGGGTTAAGTTAGGTTTAGAGCACTGTGAGTGTTAAGAGATTGCCGGGTCTTGGTGGTTCTTGTGGTTTCACTGCTTTGAGGGGGCCGTTGCTTAAGCCTTAAAAGTTGTCGTCTGCTCCGCGATTGCTCTCTGTTGGTTGGGGCTAGACTAAATTGAGGCTTTGGTAGTGTTGAGGGATTGCCGGGGTTTGGGGGTGCTTGTGGTTTCACTGCTTTTAGTGGGCCGTTGCATAAGCCTTCAAGCTCGTCGTCTGCTCGTTGTCTGCTCCGCGATTGCTCTCTGTTGGTTCGGGCTAGACTAGATTGAGGCTTTCTTATTGTTGAGGGATTGCTGGGCTTTGGGGGCGCTTGTGTTTTTACTGCTTTGAGGGGGCCGTTGCATAAGCCTTCAAACTCGTCGTCTGCCCCGTTGTCTGCTCCGCGATTGCTCTCTGTTGGCTCGGGCTAGACTAAATTGAGGCTTTCTTATTGTTGAGGGTTTGCTGGGGTTTGGGGGTGCTTGTGGTTTCACTGCTTTTAGTGGGCCGTTGCATAAGCCTTCAAACTCGTCGTCTGCCCCGTTGTCTGCTTCGCGATTGCTCTCTGTTGGTTCGGGCTAGACTAAATTGAGGCTTTCTGATTGTTATGGGTTTGCTGGGGTTTGGGGGTGCTTGTGGTTTCACTGCTTTTAGTGGGCCGTTGCATAAGCCTTCAAACTCGTCGTCTGCCCCGTTGTCTGCTCCGCGATTGCTCTCTGTTGGTTCGGGCTAGACTAATTTGAGGCTTTCTTATTGTTGAGGGTTTGCTGGGGTTTGTTGCCCGGGGCCGGGGCACCTTCCCACAGCCAGGGCCCGGGGCCGGGGCACCTTCCGGGGGGCACCTTCCCACAGCAACGCCCGGAGGCGGGGCGCCTTCCCCCACCACTTTCAGCCAGGGCCGGCCCCTTCCCACAGCCAGAGCCCGGGGGCCGGGGCACCTTCCCACAGCCAGGGCCCGGCGGGGCACCGGGCACCTTCCCACAGCCAGGGCGCTTGGGCAGAGGGCCCGCACCTTCCCACAGCCAGGGCCCGGGGCCGGGCACCTTCCCGCAGCCAGGGCCGGGCCCGGCCCCCGAAGGAGGGTTTAAGTAAATGGAAGTGATGAGCCGGTTTAAGTAAATGGAAGTGATGAATCCAAACGATGGACCCTAAACCTTACGGTTGCTTGCCTTAAATCCTGCGTACCTGCTGGGCATCAAACCAGAACCTGCGCTGGCGCATCTTCGGCCTCTGGCCGTCTAAAATTTAGGGTTTAGGGTTTAGGGTTTAGGGTTTAGGGTTTAGGGTTTAGGGTTTAGGGTTTAGGGTTTAGGGTTTAGGGTTTAAGGTTTAGGGTTTAGGGCCCCCAATAAATTTGAAAATATGATTCGCAAAAAAAAACAGCCCCAAACTTTCAGTCAAAACGTTTCAGTCAGAACGTTTCAGTCAAAACGTTTCAGTCAAAACTTTTTGGGACCCAAACCCTTACAAGCCACAGCCCCAATCCCTCCCCGGCCCCCCGGCCCAGCCCCCAACCCAGCCCTCTCATCCCAGCTGAACATGCAGAAAGCTTCCCCAGCGACCAGCCCAAGCTGGCCAGAGCCCAACACCAAATCAAGGTTCCAAAATCAAAACTCTTGTCAAAACTTTCGGTCAAAACTTTCGGTCAAAACTTTCGGTCAAAACGTTTCGGTCAAAACGTTATTGGGACCCAAACCCTTAACAATTTCTATAAACCCTAAACCCTAAACCCTAAACCCTAAACCCTAAACCCTAAACCCTAAACCCTAAACCCTAAACCCTAAACCCTAAACCCTAAACCCTAAACCTAAAACCCTAAACCCTAAACCCTAAACCTAACCCTAAACCCTCAACCCCTAACCCTAACCCTAAACCCTAAACCCTAAACCTAAACCCTAAACCCTAAACCCTAACCCTAAAAACCTAAAAACCTACAAACCCTAAAAACCCTAAACCCTAAAACCCTCCAGACCGGTAAAGAAAGTGATAAATAGAAATTGCTTGTCCTTGTTTGTAGTCACCGCTACGGCCCAACATCTGTACCATACAAAGATACGAAGTTCATGGGTGGACGTTGGCGTTACAAACTTACAGCGTCCTTGAAATTTGCAGTGTCTGTACCATACAAAGATACGAAGTTCATGGGTGGACGTTGGCGTTACAAACTTACAGCGTCCTTGAAATTTGCAGTGCCCGTACCATACAAAGATACGAAGTTCATGGGTAGACGTTGGCGTTACAAACTTACAGCGTCCTTGAAATTTGCAAGGTCTGTACCATACAAAATACGAAGTTCATGGGTGGACGTTGGCGTTACAAACTTACAGCGTCCTTGAAATTTGCAAGGTCTGTACCATACAAAGATACGAAGTTCATGGGTGGACGTTGGGATGTTACAAAAGACAGCGTCCTGTGGAAATTTGCAAGGTCGTACCATACAAGATACGAAGTCAGGTGTGGACGTTGGCGTTTACAAAACTTACAGCGTCCTGAAAGTTTGCAAGGTTCTGTACCATACAAAGTACGAAGAAAGTCATGGGTGGACGTTGGCGTTACAAACTTACAGCGTCACTGAAATTGCAAGGTCTGTAACATACAAAGATACGAGTTCATGGGTGGAACGCTTGGCGTTACAAACTTGCAAGTCCTTGAATTTGCAAGGTAGTACCATTACCAAAAGATACGAAGTTCAGGGGTGGAACGTGGCGTGACAAACTTACAGCGTCCTTGAAATTTGCAAGGTCTGTACCATACAAAGATACGAAGTTCATGGGTGGACGTTGGCGTTACAAACTTACAGCGTCCTTGAAATTTGCAGAGTCTGTACCATACAAAGATACGAAGTTCATGGGTGGACGTTGGCGTTACAAACTTACAGCGTCCTTGAAATTTGCAGTGTCTGCGCCATACAAAGATACGAAGTTCATGGGTGGACGTTGGCGTTACAAACTTACAGCGTCCTTGAAATTTGCAAGCTCTGAAGCATGACACATCCCAGGCCGGAAATGTGTCATCTTGTCCGCCTTACAGAAAGAAGCATTTTGCTCTTGTCCGAGAATAAAAAAGAAGTTTTCAATTCTGGCCAATTCCAAACGCGGTCCTGAAGGGTTCAGGGAAACCCTTCAGATCTTGAAGGGTTTAGGACAACCCTTCAGGTCCCGAAGGGTTCAGAGAAACCCTTCAGATCCTGAAGGGTCTAGGACAACCCTTCAGGTCCTGACGGGTTCAGGGAAACCCTTCAGATCCTGAAGGGTTTAGGACAACCCTTCAGGTCCTGAAGGGTTCAGGGAAGCCCTTCAGATCCCGAAGGGTTTAGGGCAACCCTTCAGGTCCTGAAGGGTTTAGGACAACCCTTCAGGTCCTGAAGGGTTTAGGACAACCCTTCGGGTCCTGAAGGGTTCAGGGAAACCCTTCAGATCCTGAAGGGTTTAGGACAACCCTTCAGGTCCTGAAGGGCTCAAGGAAACCCTTCAAATCCTGAAAGTGTGCGTCTTGCTCTTGTCCGCAAAGAGACAAGAACTGCTTTGGTATGGTTTGGTTTTGAAGTGTCCAGATCTGGCCAATCCAAAACGCACATCGGTGACGTCTATGTGCGTTTTGCTCTTGTCTGCAAAGAGACAATAACTGCTTTGGTATGGTTTGGTTTAGAAGTGTCCAAATCTGGCAAATCCAAAACGCACATCGGTGACGTCTATGTGCGTTTTGCTCTTGTCTGCAACGAGACAAGAACTGCTTTGGTATGGTTTGGTTTTGAAGTGTCCAAATCTGGCCAATCCAAAACGCACATCGGTGACGTCTATGTGCATTTTGCTCTTGTCTGCAAAGAGACAAGACCTGCTTTGTTATGGTTTGTCCTACATCACCTTGGCGATGACGATCCTAGTAGCTACCACTGTTGCTCGCCACCAATTTCGATTCACCTGCTCACGTGATCCCGGGCATCCTACATCAACTTCGCGATGACGATCACGTGATCCCGGGCATCCTACATCAACTTCGCGATGACGATCCTGGTAACTACCACTGTTGCACGCCACCAATTTCGCGGCCGCCCCCCCCCCCCTCTCCCTTTCTTTCTCTCCCGCCAAGCTTTGTGTCAAATTTCGTAAAGCCCAGAAACGTTCCCTTGAAAAGTTTCGGGGAAAACGTTTCGTTGAAAACGTTTTTGGGCCCCCCCCCCCCCCCAGGCCCCACAAGCCCCCCAGCAGCCCCAGTCCCAGCAGCCCCACCAGCCCCAGCAGCCCCAGCAGCAGCCCCCCACACTTTCGTTCAAAACGTTTCGTCAACAAGCTTTGGGGACTCATTTTCTATGATGGTTCGACCCCAGCCCAGCCCCAGCCCCCGCCCCAGCCCCAGGACGGTCAAACGTCTCGCTCCAAAGTTTCGTTCAATACGTTTCGCAGCCCCCCCAAGAAATCCGAAAACATGGTTCGAAAAAAAAACTTTCGCTCAAAACGTTTCGCCCAAAACTTATTGGGACCCAAACCCTTAGTTTCGCAGCCCCCCCAAGAAATCCGAAAACATGGTTCGCAAAAAAAAACTTTCGCCCAAAACTTGTTGGGACCCAACAAATTTGAAAGACCAGCCCCAGCCTCCAGCCTCAGCCCCCGCCCCAGCCCCAAGACGGTCAAAACGTCTCGCTCCAAAGTTTCGTTCAAAACATTTCGCGGCCCCCAAGAAATTTGGAAACATGGTTCGCAAAAAAAAACTTTCGTTCAAAAGTTTCGTTCAAAAGTTTCGTTCAAAACTTTCGGTCAAAAAGTTTTTGGGACCCAAACCCTTAACAATTTCTATAAACCCTCAAACCCTGAACCTAAAAACCCCAAACCCTAAGCCAGTGGTTGTGGTGGTGCTTGCAGTGGTTGTGGCGGTGGTTGTGCTGGTGGTCGTGCTGCTCTTGGTGGTTGTGGTGGTAGTTGTGCTGGGGTTGCGGTATGTTGTGGTTGTCGTTGTGCTGGGGTTGTGGTGGTGGCCGTGGTGAAAGTTCTCGCTGTTGCTCCGTTGGCTGCCGCTTTTGCTACGAATCCTTGTCGCGGATCCATGAAACCTCTGTCGTGGTTCCTTTCTTTGTTCAAAATGCGGTTCGTGCCTACCCTCCTGGATTGACGGCCTCGCTGATGAGTCTGGCTTTGTCGTGCAATTGATACGCCGCTCGAAGAATGTGCTTGCTTCCAAGTCCTGGGCAATATTGTCACAGAAAGTGGGAGTGCGTTGCAGTTTTCCGGGCATTCAAAGAGTCATGAGGAGATCACCGTTCGGGCCGCCAACAGACAAGAGGCCAGCTCATCCAGAGCGCTACATCAATGCAATCGTGGACTGCTCGTGTGGCTGACAGGTTCCTGGGCTATACGAAGAAGACACGGGAACAAGTCTTCCAATTCTTCGACAGGTGTCCCGGTGCTCGTGACTATGCCCGATTGTTATTGTCACTGCTGCGTGTGAGGTTGATGGTAATCGACAGGAATTATGACGGGCAGCACTACAATTTGATGTGCCAATCCTACAACTGCGAGACCTCTGCAGGATCATGCTTTCTTCGCAGCTTGGGAACCAAGGACAAACAATTGCAATCACTTTTCGGACAGGTTGCTGATGTTTCTCCGAAACGAGCTTCTTGAATGACATATACAATGCTCAGCAAGTGTTCGGCGAGCTAGTGTTGGATGTGAGGCAAATTCCTGAAGATATCCGAAAGCAGCCTAAGCTTGCTCGGGGCTAAGTCTCCACAAAGATGTCGCAAACATGGATGATACCGCACTGGCAACGTGAGATATGTTCGCTGCTGTAGACCAGCGTGATTTGCGTGCATGCGGGAAGATTCTGTTCAGCCTTCAAGGTGACTCGACGTTTGCGTGGTCAAGTTCTCTGTTACTTGCTTGGGTTGCACTGGTGGTGCTGACGCCCCTTGCCCAGGGCTCATACACGCAGACGGCAGGTCTATTGAAGTGCATAACTCCCTGGGGTTTGCGTGAACTGCTGTGTTGTTGTGTACTCGCACGCAGGCAAGTGTAGCTTTCCAATGTAGTTGCAGGCAGGCAATCACGTCGGTAGGGTGCTTTAGCCTAGGCCGACAATATCCTGAGCGGTGCGAACGGCACAAACCAGAACTACTGTTCCTCGGACGTTCATGTCGACTTGGTTCGCGGCCCTGCGAGAAAGAGGAGGCAAGCAGACCTGGACGTGCCCCGAACTAAGTCGAGACATTGGATTTCTGTCTCTACCTATTTATCCCGCCCCCTCCCTCCACTCTCCCTCTCCCTCTTCCTCTCTCCTCTCCCTCTCCCTCTCCCTTCCCTCCCCTCTCCCTCTCCCTCTCCCTCTCCCTCTCCGCTCTCCCTCTCCCTCTCCCTCCCCTCTCCCTTCCCTCTCCCTCTCTCTCTCTCTCTCTCTCTCTCTCTCGCTCTCTCTCTCTCTCTCTCTCTCTCTCTCGCTCTCTGCCTCCCTCTATGTGTTGGCAGAAACTGGAGGTTGGGATCTGAAGGGATGGGGTGAACTGGAAGCAGACCTGGAATGCGAGACCGTTTCCGTTGTTTGCGATGTCAAAGTGCTGGACCACGATTGGGGGATTGTTCAAGGGCAGAGTCATGCACAGATTTGCAGGCCTCGATCGCGGATCCCGCGCTGGCTGGATGGATGACGCGACGCCATGCATTTCAGCAACTCCAAAAATGTGCGAAAATGACAGCAGGACAGGCAGAGAGCCCGTGGGTCCATGTGGGTCCTCGTTCAAGTTTCATGAATTGCACCCTTGATCCCTTTGCTTTCCGATCCGCCAGTAAGGATCTAGAGTCTAGCAGTTAGGTTAGCGTTTGAGGCTGGCAAACCTTACGGATCAATTTGGTTACAAATTTGCTTCAAGTTTTCCCCGCCGAATTGCGAGTCTTGCCAGGTAAACGAACCATGAGGGAGATTTTGCAGCGTCAGCAAATCCTTTACAATCTGCACGCTTCGTTGCGGGAAAACGGAACTCGAAGTCTTCTGAGGATTGCCCTGGTAGCTATCCCGTAGTCTCCTTCCCAGTCAAAACCCAGTTGGTCCGAAGTTGGTCCTGTGCCTTAACCACAAGTTTGTGGCCTGACAGGTCACCACATGTCACCACGACCTTTCAGCCGTTAAGCAGCGCTTAAGCTTGTTCCATGGGATGCTCATCTTTCCGCGACCCACGAAGGCCTGGCAAACGACTTGCCCTGTCTCGGGCAGAGCACGCCTGGACAGGCAGGGTCAAACGTGTCAAAAAGTAGGAGCCCCCCCCCCCCCCCCCCGTAAAAATTACGACTACTACGAGTATTGCATTAAATCGTGTTATTTTTAGCCAATAAATACAGGAAACCAGCGCGAGAGGGGAACCATGTGTACCAACTCACTGGGCACTGTGGCTCAGTGATTCAATGACATTTTGTGTGGGCAATGGAGGGTGTGTGTAGCAGAAGAGTTTGGCGAAGATAGAGGGAGAATGAGAATGAGAATGAGAGCGACAGAAAGTTCATGAAAGTTCTCTTTTTGTGAGCATCGAAACTACGAATGGCTCGCCAAGAACAGTGACACGAAGAGAAATGCCGCAGTGTCACTGCAAGAGCGAGTCAACAGCGTATTCTAAATGCAAAATCTAGAAGATACTAGTATGGAGCAATAGGCTGAGAAGTCCGCTGCAGGTTACTGTGGTGCTTGCAGAGGCTGCAGTTCTCAGCAAGTGAGTTTAAAGTGTTTTTCGCGACGGTGTCAGCAGCCAATCAATGCTCGTGCCGCGTGGGTGCCAGTTTTGCTCAAAGAGATCCAACGGGAAGGGCAGCCATTGCAGGAGTCATCCTTGAATGGGTCAAGACGACGTGGAAGCTGACCTAGAACGGGACATTCGCAGAGCATGTGCAGTACAAGTCTAAACAGTGAAGAAATTCAAGGCAGCACTTGCTTGCAGCGGCGCCATGTGGCAAGCATCTGGGCAGATGAGGCCAAGGCCAGACATGTCTAACGCATCACCGCGCGATTTCGACAAACCAAACTGTGCCACGGAACTTCGTGAATCATTAAGGGAGGACCCAAGCGCACCCTTTGTCCCATCGCAGAGCCACAGGCAGCGGCTACACAACCAGCCGAGCCCGACGTCAAGGAGGTTTTGGAGCAGGCGGGCAAACTTCCCTGAGGTACCCTGCAGTATCTCGATGATGATGATGATTAGGATGATGATGATGGTGGTGGTGATGATGATGATCATGATGATGATTAGGATGGTGATGATGATGATGATGAATTTTTTGCGACTACGTATGTCAAAGGAAAGCATGATTTGCTCCACTCTCAACGCCTCCGGTTGTCGTTGCTTTAGTTTGCCTTCCATTGCCACTCCTTCGTGATGACTTGAACGGCCACTGTCAACAATGTTGCTAGTCCACCTGTTTTTTGTTTGCGTTCCGGTTCCAGTGACCATCGCATGCCTTGGAAAATGCTACTCAGGAATTCAGCAAGCTCCGCGCAGAGCTCGTAGCAGACCTTGAAGGCATCCAGCGTTGAGGAGAAGTGCATGTTATGTTAGGACTGTCATGACATTACAAGCTGCAAACTAGTAGGCAGGGGGGTCACCGACAGCTCAACGCAAGGATTATGACTATGCCTGATTGTTCGATTGCCTGTACCACAAGGAATGTCCACAAAAAGGAAAGGCGAGTGCCGTCTGCCCCTGCGCAGGTGTGCTGAAGCAGCAGTTTGCAGACTGCAGAAAGGCGGATGGGATCTTTGCGCAGTTTGCCAGTGTGTTTTGCTGGATTTTTGAGGCTTTTCGCGAGGATGTCCTGCAGACGCTTACTGACAACGGAGATGAAGATCGGCAAAACAGCGATCGGGAAATGTGAGGCTGTCTCCTGATTCCTCCTTCTGATTGTCCCCGCTGCCCTGCAAGACTTGCATGTCTGCCAAATCTTTGCAGGAACCCGTTCTGGCCCTTGGATTCGAGCTGGACGCGTGGACGGCTCAGTGGCTATTGGAGCTAGACATCAGCATACATCAGCTCCAACATCAAGCCCTTGTCGAGAGTATCCGATTGGAGTCTAGGCAGTTTGGCTCCTTGTCCTCCACGGTGCTGACAGATGTGGTGGTCATGGTTTGAGAACTGGACGGTTTCAGTATTATTCAATTCCACGAAACTGAAACGTGTGTCCAACAAGGGCAGTGATGATGTGTCCATGCCGAAGCCAGGAAAGATGGAGGCTCTGCGTGCAGTGATCCGTGCAGGGAGTGGAAGCGTTTAGTTTGCGGTTATTATCCCAATTGAAGTGGTTTGGGTCATGTTCAGCGCAAAGCCTGTCTTTCGTATGCTCCTTGGAGACTGAAACAACCGTGTATGACCCCATTCGTTTTCTTGTTCAACGGTTTTAAGGTGTAGAGTCTAGGGCTTTGGGTGCACAAGGGTTGTGTATGACCCCATTCGTTTTCTTTTGCATGTTACTTGCAGACTGAAACAACCGTGCATGACCCCCATTCGTTTTCTTGTTCAACGGGTTTAAGGTGTAGGGTCTAGGGCTGAGGGGTTTGGGTGCACACGGGTTGTGTATGACCCCATTCGTTTTCTTTTGCATGCTCCTTGGAGATTGAAACAACCGTGTATGACTAATTCGTTTTCTTTTTCAACGGTTTTAAGGTGTAGGGGCTATGGCTTTGGGTGCACAAGGGTTGTGTATGACCCCATTCGCTTTTTTTGTATGCTCCTTGGAGACTGAAACAACCGGGTATGACCCCATTCGTTTTCTTTTCGGACTTTTAAGGTGTAGGGTCTAGGGTTTTGGGTGCACAAGGGTTGTGTATGACCCCATTCGTTTTCTTTTGCATGCTCCTGGGGGACTGAAACAACCGTGTATGACCCCATTCGTTTTCTTTTTCAATGGTTGTATGGTGTAGGGTCGAGGGCTTTGGGTGCACAAGGGCTGTGTATGACCCCATTCGTTTTCTTTTTCAACGGTTTTAAGGTGTAGGGTCTAGGGCTTTGGGTGCACAAGGGTTGTGTATTGTAAGCTCCTTGTAGACTGAAAGAACCGTGCATGACCCCATTCGTTTTCTTTTTCAGCGGTTTTAAGGTGTAGAGTCTAGGGCTTTGGGTGCACAAGGGTTGTGTATGGCCCCATTCGTTTTCTTTTGTATGCTCCTTGGAGACTGAAACAACCGTGCAAATCTGTTAATCTTTCATGTCTTGCTCATGTGCGAGCACAGACAGTAAGGGAGTGACGGTTTGCCAGCCTCCAGTATTTGCACGGAACAGCTCATTTAGACAACGATGATTGGTTTCATAGATGTGATGAAATTTGGTGACAACCTGGTGTATGATGTAAACATACTTAAACTGTGAACGGACCTCGAGGCACTGTCCGTTCCATGAGTGCCTGTTTAAGAGCTATGTGTGACTTGATTCCGATCACAATACATGCTAAGCTCACTGTCGCACAGATTGACTGCTCAAAAGGGAATCTCCGACTCACCTCCAGCGAGAGATCTGCAGAAAAACAGGGTTTCTCTCTGCTGTCTTCAGCTGTAGCTGTGTAGTCATTCGGCGGCTCAGTGTCTAGACAATGACCCATTTGCCAGGCTTGCCTGCCTTTTTGCTTCCTGCTAATGCTTGGTTTACTCGCAGTCCCGCTCAGGCCAGTCTAGTCTGTATCAAAGCCGTGGGATGACTACACAGGTAAAGACAACACAAAGAAACCCTTTTCTCTGCGGGTCTCAGGCTGAGGGTAAAGCGATACTTTCCCTTGGGGCAGTCAAACTGCGTGACGCGAAAGGTGGTAAGACATGCCCGTGCTCCGTTCCAATTTTTTATAAGCCTGCAACAAGCATTTAGCTATTGGCGACAAGACAAATGGAACGGTGCTCGGCTGATCAATCTTAGTCTGCTGGACGCGATCTGCATTTAAGGAT